CCAAAAACAAAAAGGAGCTCAATTTATCTCTCACCCTTATAGGTGGAGGGGATGGATCCTAAACCAGAATAACACAGGGTTTATAAACTCAAGTTGTCAGTAGTGGAAGATATATTTAAACAGCCACAATTATCTTCTTTTATTTAATATTAAAAAAAAATGTTTTGGCTTCTTTTTCATAACTAGGCCAAACTTGGTCTTGTCCCTTTTGTGAACCGTTCAGGTGATCCGCCGAGGCTGGCTCACGATCAACATCAGCATCATGAAGGGAGGATCGAAGGATTACTGGTTTGTCCTGACTGCTGAGTCGCTGTCCTGGTACAAAGACGAGGAGGTGAGCCTGCTCACAACATGCAGCTTTTTCTCTGAGGGAGAAAGATAAGGAGAAATTTTAACACTGGAGTGATGTTTTGACAACTTTAACAAAGTTTTCTTTGTCTTTCAATGAATCAATTGTGTTTTTAAATTTAACCATTTTTTTTCTCCAGGAAAAAGAGAAGAAGTACATGCTGCCTCTTGACAACCTGAAGCTGAGAGATGTGGAAAAAGGTTTCATGTCCAGCAAACACGTCTTTGCCATCTTCAACACAGAACAGAGGTGCAGATGTTTCTGTCCTTCATCTCSTCAGGCAGTTTGGAGAAAAAGTGTGCAAATTATACAACAAAACATGCAGCTTGTTTGGGAAGACTGTGGGGTGACTAGGGTTTGGGCAAAAGCTTACTGTGCAGTCATCCACCCATTATCTATACCTGCTTCTTCCTTTCAGGGAAGGTTTTCACTGGTGCCTGAATCCAGCTGTCACTGTGCGGGGGTGGGGTACAACAAGTCCATYACAGGGACACACATAGAGACAAGTTAGAGTTACCAATGAACMCAACAGTCATGTTTTTGGTCTGTAGGAAGAAACCRAAGTAAACCCACACATGTACAGAGAGAACATGCAAACTCTACCCAGCAAGGTCCCAGGCTGGGATTTCATCTGGCAACCTTCTTGCTGAGAGGCCTCAGCTCTACCAACTGAGCCACCATGTCGCAGTCAATCATCAGAAAAACCTTTGACAGTTAATATTTGGTACTTAGGGATTAATACGATTAATGTCACCTGGTGGACTGATGGGATTTCCAGTTAGTGACTAGTCCGCTCAGAGCTCTTCTCTTTCCTCTTCAGCAAAYAACGGATCGCTTACTTCTTTGTAAAGTCTTCACTCTGTCTCCTCCATCTCTGCCTTTGAGCTTCCCTCGTCTCTCTGAAAAGTTCTGACTGTAGCCATGTTTCCATCAACATTTTTTAATGCGCATTTTGAAATATTGCATCAGAAAAGATGATGGAAACGGCTTGATTCAAAAAACTTCCTCTAATTCACATAAAAGTTGATGCGCTCGCTTGAGGTGGTTTTTGGTTTTTTCRAAAAACAGKTAAAGCACAAAAGGAGAGATGGAAACACATTTGCTGAATAAGTTCTGATGTAGCGAACTTTTACCTCACATGTTGATCAGCTGTTCTCGCTGTCTGAATGGTACCAGTACCGATACCAGAGCAGCTGCAGCTGGACCCTCCTCTCGCTGTCGGTGTCCTCAGTTATTCCTGTAACGTGAAGAGAATCACATTCCTTTCTGTACGTCTCCAGACAGCAGTAACATCATCAGAACCAGTTGATATGACAGAATAATTACAACTTTCCTGATAGCAGCAACACGTTCCTGATAACTTCTCTCCATGGTCCTGAGATGTGACTTTTACTTCCTGTTTACTACACACACGTCTGACGTAACTGATTCGCTTCAAGCCCGTTGATGGAAACACGTCTGATTTGCATTTCTTCATTTTTTTTTCCTTTTTGTAAAATTAAAAAAATTCATTCAAAATTCTGATTAAGATTGGATGGACCTGTGGTTCGGTCCATTTCGCCGCGGCTTCATGTCAAGTTCAAATATATCTTCATGGTTTTACTCTCATAAATCGATCAGATCTCATTACTTTCTCCACCGAATTCCGACGTCTTTATTTTCTTCTTCCTGGAAGAATTTTTGGTGTTTGTCAAATAATTTCAGGCCTCAGTTGGAAAGGTATTTGGGGGTTATATGACAATTAAAAACTTGTGTATTAATTGAAGTCTGTACTTTYGACACAAACTGGAACAGATGCTTAGAGAGAGTGATTTAAATCATGTGACTGGGACCTGCTGGGGTCCAGGGACTCCAGGGGATTAATCAYCATTTTACACGTTATCAACTAAATACCACAATGAATGCATTTTTTTGTCAATATCACCCAACTCTATGTGTGACCTATGACAGCTGCGCTACATCCCACAGCATAGACAGAATTGTTCAAATTGAATTAATACCAATGGGATTATTGGTGAAATGTGTAAAAAATGTAGCCAATTTTGAAGCCTATGGTGGTAAAAGTCATAGCCGTAACATCATTCAGAGTTTAAACAGGTCACAGAAATTTAGACTTTACACACGGCAACTGTAATTTGGATTTCTTTTGATGTTTTTACTTCAAAGGTCAGGGAGTGAAAGACACAGATGTGTGGTTACCATAGTGACAATAATGAGCCACTGGCACAAGCTTTACCATTTCTTTWAATCTTGGTTCTTTTTTCACTTCTACAGTTAATGCAACAAAATGTAGGTTATTTCATTTAGTTTAGAAATTACAATATGTTGGCTGCATCATAATCCTTTAGTTTTCTTTAGTTCCTGTGGTTCCACACTGCATAATGCTTTTTTGTTCCACAGGAACGTGTACAAAGACCTGCGTCAGATTGAACTGGCCTGTGACACTCAGGAGGAYGTTGACAGCTGGAAGGCCTCCTTCCTCAGAGCTGGGGTTTACCCAGAGAAAGACCAGGTGCAGAAGAGTTTCCTTACATTTTTTTCTTTTTAACGCAGATGTTTTACATTTTCAGAAATGTTGAATTAATATAAAATAATCCTGAGCTCAGGACAGCTTTGTTTGAGTAGTTCTGTTAAAGGGGGGCATTAGGTATTTTTCAGGCACATACTTCAGTTTTATACTCAAGTAACTGTTAACTTCAGTTGTTATGAAAATGATATATATATAGGGGTGCAACAATACATGTACCCGTATCGAACAGTACTGTATCGAACAATACAGATTTTAAAAATTTACTTTATCAACTTGTCTTCTGAAGATGCTCTGTGTTRAAGGATCAGTGGATCTGTGTTCGACTACTCCACCTAGGCTGCATTTTTGTGCGCAGATCCACTGAGAAACTTGCTGTTTCAGCAACATTTAATTTAAAAGCTGTACTTTTGAGGTTAGAGGTTAAACAAATGTTCATAATTAATATAAATAAATTACAAGTTAAAAGGGGCATGGAAATTTCTCTTTATTGTATCAAAAAAATATCGAACCGTGAGACTAAAGTATCGAACCGAACCGTGAATTTCCTGTATCGTTGCACGCGATATATCGGCACTAATATCGGTATCGGCCGATATTGGTCATTTTTTAGAGTATCGATCCAATATGTAAAACTGGGCAGATATTACCGTCCGATATTGATTTCCCACTTTTGAGCTTTTGTGTTCCTGTTTTGGGAGAGGAGATGGTTGGTTGAGCAGCATCTGTTTGATCATGATAGTGATACTGATGCTGCGTAGCCAGGAATAACTGAAGTAGAGCCATGTCAGAGGTCTGGTTGTTTATTTACAGTATCAAGAAAAGACCCAAGTGAGTTTTTGCGTATATATATAATATAATTTGTGTGTTTGTGTAATATCGGTAAATATTGGTTATCGGCCATAACACCAATTATTATATCGTATATCGATATCTGCTGACATTCTCATATCGGTGCAATGTGGGGTTTAGTTAAGCTCTTGGCTTTTACACTTGGGACTATCTGGACTGTCAGAGAACAAAGTTGTGAGTTTGTTTTGCTGGCATGTGATGTCATAAAATCTGAACAACAACAAAATGACTAGTTATTTCAGCAAAGTGACCAGGAC